TTCTGGAAGTTCTGTTTCTGTTCCAAGAACTCTGCTCGCTTCTGCTTTTCGTAGACTTTCCACTGCATCTCCCTTTTGGCAAGCTCTTCTTTCAATTTGCGGACGCGACCGTCCGCTTTGCGGGCATTGGTCACCATCTTTTGGATTTCCCGCATCCACTCGGTTCTGTGCGAGGTTGCCGCTTCTCCAGGCTCCTCCCAGGTAGGCTTCTCCGCAGGCAGCTGGACACGATCGTATCTGGTAGGGTTGTTGGCCCGCCCCTGTGGCGAAGCAGACCACGAGCCAGGCCAGAGCCGCCAGGGCCGCTGGTCTTGTTCCTTGTAGTATCCACGTTCGCTCCAGCTGTTGGCCCATTTCTCCTTTCGTCCCATATGTAGACGAAGTCGAGGGAGGTACCTGGGTGCTGAGTGGTGCTTTTCAAGCAGACTGATGTCCCGGTGCCAGGGGATGCCACCAGCCAGTCTATGGCTCCAGATGCGCTTTCTGGCTCTAGAGCGCTTTTTGCGGAGCGTCCGGTGCCAGCGAGGGCTACTCCGGACCCCCGTCTTGAACGTGGGAATAAACCCACTGGGGCTCTAGCTATGCTAGGGGAATCCTCTACCCTAACTCGATCCAAAGCCCTACTAGACACATACATACATACATACATACATACATACATGCATTATCTATCTGTCTGGATATCTATCCACCACCCAATCTCTACCTCTCCATGAGATGAGCAACCCTGTCACGCTCCATTAAACAGCCGGGCTTGCTGCCAGGCGGGCCAGGGCTGCCAGCACCGTACAGGTCTGCCCTCTCAAAGTCCGAACCATGCCGTGAACGGGGAGTAAGGGTTTGGGTGGGGGGGGGGGGAAGGGAAGGGTGGGTGTAAAGGTCGGCGTGAGGGATTTCATAGCCTTCTTAAGTACGAACCGGGGCTTTCAGGCCTGCTGACATGGCTTCGACATCACGAGAACACCGAGCAAACTTGGAGCCTACATGAGCCTAACCGCAACACACATGCTAAATCTACTCGCTCCAGGACCGGCTACTTCTGTTGAGAATCAAAATCTCAAGTCTAAAACTGCGGCAACCTTGGGCCCCTTCAGGGGCCTGGCTGACAAGTACTTCGATGATCTTCGATGCTCGTACCGGCACAGGGAGTGTTATCCTATCGGCAGGCAGCCTGGCGTGAGCCGGGCCGCCGTCGTGGTGCAAACCGAAGCGGCAGCCTGGCACGCACAAGCCACGCAAAGAAACCGCTAAACCCTTAACCCTGATTCCAGGTGTTGACAATTGTTTGGCTGTCCGGGCTCGACCAAGCAACTATGATAAGATAGCATCCATTCAGGAGCCTGGCATAAAGACTGCATGTCTGAAGTGGACCATGGCTGGACCATGCCATAAACAGCAGGAATCTCCGTGTGGATTTATCAACCGAGAGCTGGGCCTATCCTATCATCTTCACGACTTATAAGAGACCGACTTCTTACCTCGAGCGCCCTCGACTCATCGGGAGATGCCGCCCTGAGCCACCAGGATCGATGTTAGGTCCGCATCGTGTGCAATGTCAGGCGATGGAAAAGTTTGTGAATACCGCTTAGGCTTCTGTCTGCGATGCAACCGTCCATCTAAAGACAGCAGGATGACAATCTGTGTGGTGGACTTTAAATAGACTTACAGGCAGCGACGGCCATCGCTGCTTTATGTTCTATGGATTGTAAACGTCGCTACGAAAGCTTTCTGTGCCCCTGCAGCCAAGTGCTCGGTGCCCGGCACGCTGTCGGCCGTGTGCTTCTTTGCCTGCGCCAGTGCCCAAAGTGCCGCGGCCTGGGTTGAAGAGGGATCTCTACCCACTGCTTCCTGTATGTGAACGGAGGGCGAACTGTGAAGGTTGCAACATGATTTCTCCGACTGACATTTCCCTGATTCTTCCGGATTGCTTTGCAGCCAATCTCCAGCTAGTTGCAGTGTGGTGGGGAGGTCGCCGGCGGGAACAAGTTCGGTCAAAGCACGCACTCGCAGCTTGGGCTTCAGAGGGCGGTTCAAAGCTCTGTACCGCAGGTCCTGGTAAGGGATGTCAGCAGTGATGATAGATGAATGACTGTAAGCCTGAGGCTGACGGTGGTGCCAATCATCAAGAATCCGAACATAATCAACCGCTGCCAGGGTCTGGTTTCTATGAAGGCTCAGCACTTCAAACCATACATGCTCTAAAACCATCACATCAGTAGAGTATTCGAAGCATCTCTTTGTTAACTGAGCCGAGGTGCTGGCAAGCTCGTCAGCAGAAAGCCTGGTGTGGAGGGCGGTCAAGGTTTGGGGGCTTCGGCGCTCGCACTCGGACTCTCCAGGCGAAAGTCGACGACGGCTCGAGGCTGAAGAGGATATACACTCCCATGGCATTGTGACATGATGTACATGCATTTTCCCGCCGGCAGTAAACCCGGAGCCTATAGGGCCTAAGGTCGTGATGAAAAGTCCGACGCAAAACGCTGGTCCGTTGCTCCGGCCATGCTCGTCTTCCGAGACTTCGATTCGATACATGGCCAGGAAGCTACCGGAATTGATATCGCCCCTCCCAAATTGAAACGGCAGTCCCAACATCTGCCACGAGATCGGATTGTGGCTTTTCTGTGGGCAAGTTTGGCGTTTGGTGTTTTGGGTTGATGGTTGGTCCGTGTTGGTCTATGTAGCTTCGGGCTTCCAATTTTGTTGTCGAGATGCGTACCAAACTTCTGGCCCATGCACGCACAGATGTATGAGCATGGCAGCAATGACAAGGGTCCGGCACATATGCAAAAGACACACTACAGAACCATGACCACCTGGAACTATGATATGCTCAATTTAATCTTGTTGCGAGTGCCGCCTGCAAGTGTCCTCTTGCGAAAAGAATGGTCTGAAATATTCGTGGTAGCATCCCGGTAAACGTAGTCATAGTTCCAAGACTATACCACGAAACCATGGCAAAAGCTTGGATTCCGACCGCTGCCAGGCGCCCGCAGCATCGAAGCGCCTGGGCCCATCAGTCAAGTTATGTGCAACTTCCTGCTGTGCTAAACAATGCATGAAGTGCGCATGTACAAGAATACACACACATACATACACGCACACATCAATACATTCATATGTTACATACGTACCTGCATATGTGCATACACGCATACGTACATGTCTATCTCTGTATATACAACACGTATACACATAGACATAACAATCAAACAGAGTGTGATCGCATAATGTCATTGATGATCTACGGCATATGAATATAACGTAAAATACTACAATGCAATGCAGGGCTGCGGGCAGACTGAACGGCCGGTAGTAGGGGAATCGCAGCTCCCAGGTTGGATTCTGAGATGGAAGGGGCTGGCCGCAAGGCTGGCAGACTCACGGGTGTAGGCATGGATGTTTTCACGGCTGTAACTTATGGAGTCTTGCAGGTCTGCTGCGATTTTCCGGACTTTCAACAGAACGCAGTGGCACATCATGTCGACATGCTACCGGTAGTAGACTATTGACAGTATGATAACGCGAGTATCGGTGGGACAGAACGCCTGGCAGGCTCCCCTGACTCTTTTTCTGCTGCTTCTCTATGCAACAGCTGGTGCCATCCGGCTTGCATTAGACTGGCCAGCGGAGTCTTGCTGAGCCATGCAGCTCTACAAGCTCAACTCCTCTTTCAGGAAGTTTGATGCACGTGCCCATGCTCGGAAGTATTGCTTTGCAGCAGAACAGCTTCCAAAGTGTCTACATGCAAGTGAATATGAGCCCCCGAACCCTGATACCAAGAGAACTCGAAACAGTTAATAAGATGTGTCTCTGCCACTTCGACCGTCTTCTGACTATGCCTCCGACGTTGGTGTGACCATATGCTCATTGCACACAGTTTGGCAATACATGCTGCCTAACACTCTGACAGATACGTACTGTGTCATACTTTGGCGTCTGCACGCACAGAGCCATGCTACATAATGTCGGTGAAGATTATATAGTATTTAAGACAGAAATATACCAAAATGAAATATAGTAATGTAATAATATAGCTATCCAGTCTTATAAGGTGTAACCGAATATTCTATATAGGATCAGCAATTGCTGGCTACTCTCGGGCACGTGCATGATGTGGCTTGGCGCTCCGACAAGTTACTAAGAATCCCACAGCCATCCGTCCGTGCGTAGACGTTTTGAGACTTTGCAGAATACAGTTTTAGACTACGTCCTCGAAATGACAGCATTTCAACAGCCATAAAAATGCCGCTATCTATCTCCGGTAGATATCTGAAGCACAATTCTCACCTGGTGTTCGTCTTCTTATTGAATGCCACTGTCCAACGACAACTCATGACGAATACCATTAGACATGTGCATTCCACTTCCCGCTTCAGGTGGCCAACCAATATGTAGCTTGCCCTCTCAGTCTTTTGCGCAACACTATCTTTAACTTTAAACATTCTAAGTCGTCAAACCAACTTGTAGGGGTTTGCCATTGTCGAATCTTTTCAAGGTTTAGAAGGATTTGGGATGTAGACACATGGAGATTGCAAAAATGAGGGCACCAAATTAAGTGTGAACACACACACACACGCGCATACTTGAGCTCGTACATACAGAGGAACCATACACACCACCCGCAAGCTCAATTTGTTGTACCAGCACAGCTTCAAGATGCAAAATCAAAACACCATCGCAGATCACGAAACCACAGCCGACGATTCAGTAGAACCTATACCAGTGCCCAAGAAAGTCAGCTGCTTGGTATACAAGCTCTGGCATACATCCACATGAAAATGCGGTATCGGGAGACGTGGTTCGAGATCTACGACTCGAGCTCACGAATGACAATCCCGCGCGAGGACCTATCAACCCGAAACTGTGTTCCTCGTAGGTGTATTACTGAGATCCGGCCTGATGATAAATTTAATCATGGAGGATTTGGGAGGATAGTGTGGCACAGTGTAGCACTGCGCTACCAGCCTCCCTTTCGCAGACTGGCGCGACTGGTCCGTTGGTCACGCGGCGGGGGTCGGATCCCTGGGCCACACACACGGCTCATGGCAGCTTGCGCGGAGCTAGAGACACAGGTAATTCATGTCTAAAGCAGAATATATATGTGTGCGGTGTTATGTGCATATACATAGACAGAGGTGCCTGCTGCGAACACTTGCTCATCAAACATGCATGTACAACACATATGATATGTGCTTATGATTCTGAATGCGTGAATCCATATGGTAAATGATGCAAATGCTCACTTGCTGTGGCCCCTCCACGTACCTTCATTGTACATCAATGTAGAATCCTGTGGCAAGCAGCTTGAAAGTATGTTTAGCCACATCAGGAGTAGTAACGAAAGCAACCACAGATTCGTGTTCTGCAGCTGTGTCGCTTCTTGGTCCAAACATCCTTGGGATGTTAAGGCGCAGTTTCAGGGCACAGGCCACGCAGCCTCTTCACACCGACCTCACATGCTGCCGAGCCACTACCTGAAGAGTGTGCCCCTCGAACATGCTGCCATTGAGCATAGCAATCCTTAAGACCCGAAGCAGTAAGTGGGTTCGCAATGGCTTGTTTTGGTCAGGTGATGTGTTCTTCGCGAGTTTTCAATCAAAAATGTGCTCTGGGACGCATGTCGAAAGGAGGCCTCATGCCTGAACTTGAGTCCAGTGACAACATGAAACTTCCGATAACGAATGTGCCTTGCGTGACAAGGTCACATGACGGGTGCAAGTTTCTTTATAACAGCGCCCGTCGAGACCCTCGGAAAAGGGCCATGGACTCAAAGCCAAGCAGACATATACGCACTTCGAGCGGCGCGTTCTGACACTCCTCCGGGGTCTTGAAGACGGCGTGGCCTTCAACAAACTTTGGACTCGAAGATCAATGCTACTTCGAACATGCCATTCCTTTGATAGCCCCTCCGTGCGGCTGCCTCTCCTGCCGGTGCGTACCGTGACGTAGCAAGCTCAGCTCTATCTGATTATCAGCTCTGTCGCACTGCAGAGGCAAGGTCGGCTTTAGACTTAACACAACATCCTGTTATGCACAACGTTAACCGCCGCACCCAGCATATGCACAAGGCTTGCAACACGGGAGAGCAGGCTTTACCAAAACTATAGACCGGCCGGTAGAGCGCATTATATGGTAGCATGCACCCGAAACCATGAAGCCACAATGCTGCGCGTTCTGCCCGACGGGCCTTCGCCCTTCCAGCCGACTTCCGCCCAAATACATTCTCCGGCTTGGCACATGTGTTCCTGAAACTTCCAAGAAATGGAGATAACATGTTGACCGTGAATATGGTGGAGGTTTGTGCAGTCTGCTATTGTGTCGGGTTATGAGCCGTTGCGAGTCCATTAGTACTGCACATCAAATCCTACAAAACCTGGAATCCAAGCCCCTAAACCGTAAACCTCAAACTCCCTAAACTCCTAAACATGCCTAAACCCTTAAATAGCCACTCCTTCAGCTTCTTGTTGGTCTCGACGCTGGTCGACTCGGCCGGCCAACCTCCGATCCTCAGATCTCACAAACTTGAAACTTTTCTTGTGATAGAACATAGTATGATGTAGCAAAAGCCATCGTACAGTATAGTGAAGTATAAATAGTATATAGTACAGAACGGTGTAGTAGTTATGGTGTAAAGTGTGCAGTGGTATGGTATGGTATATATAACGAGGCGTCAGGGGCTGTCGAATTCAACTTGTGCAACACTTGCCTCAATAAACCCACCTGATACTTCCTGAGCTCCCACTGGCATCATCGAAGTACTGCCGCGAAGGGACCAAACCTTCTTGTCGGCCGGCACTCGGTACCTCAGATCCGACAGTTTGTCTGCCTTCAACCGCAACATGAGTTGCATGAACTACACAAACCTCTTCTGCCACTGCCATTGGCCGGCCGAAATGGTCCTGGTCTGAAGCGAGCAAGCCTATGCGCAATGGAAAAACCTGAAGTCTCAAGTTTCCTCCTGTGGAGGTGTCTGTCCTCATGCCGGGCTTGAATCTGTTGGGCAGCCATGTGCCCAAAACACCCTTCACGACTCTAAGGTCTGGCTTATACAGCTGAAGCAATTATGTGCACGAAGGACGCCGCCATAACTTTAGCAAAGCTGGATTACTCTGCCGAGGCCTGACATGCACTATGGACTTAACCATTTGCGGCCAAGGAACTGCTTGCCTTTGCCCTTGCCCTTCGCCATCATCACCTGTCCAAATCGGCAATGATGATAGCAGCTCAATTTGCCATGATTGCAATTCTAGTTGTATTCCAGCTAGAACAACTGTGCCTGAGTAGACAGACCAACGATGGCTTTGTGGTTCATTCTGAATCAATTCAATATGGCTGAATGTCGGAATCAAAAATCTAGAACCGAAGCTCTTCTACAACTGCACGGGTTTTGCTCCTGCTAGTGCAAGGGGGTTGCGGATTAGTAGTGTGTGTTGGCGATGATTCTGGGTTTGGGGGAAGGCGGCTATGGGTCTCTGACTGCGGGCCTCTATATAAACGCCCCAGGTATTGGTTTCATGGGGAGTGCTCGTCTCCGTGTTCCTTCAAATTTAGTTTCCAAGCACTCGCAACTGGGAAAACACACACACACACACCCCTTTCGTTCTCAAGGTTTGGAGTTGAGGGAGGTTTGGGGTTGGATTCTGGCCCACCTTCATCATCGTCATGAAGTTGTAGGGCATTCCCCAGCCCTTGCCCTTGCCTTGGCGTTTCGGACCGACATCTGCCGGTGTCAGAGTTAGGCTATGGAGCGCTTGGGAGTTGAGTCGGTTGCGTGGGATCCGGGAAGGCTGAGGGCGCTGTGATGCCTCCTATAGCCTCGCATGTCCACGGCCAGCGCTTAGTCTGCAAACGTCTGAAGTGTGAACACGCATTCGACTAGAAGCTCAACCATCAGGCCGAAATCAGGACCATTTCAGACAGGCGGGCTGTCTCAAGACCACCCATTCTTCCTCTCAACTTTCAGCGACAGACAATGACGAGGTGCCCTTGCCGTCACTGCCCATGGTGACTGATGGGACGAAAGGATCTCAAAACCAGAGCCGGATAGCAGCTGCGGAAGCAAGCACAGGATGAGCAGTTGTTGCCGAGTGTGGGGCTCTAAGCTCAACGTCCGGAAGTTGAGGAAAGCAGAAAATTACCACATGAGGCAGAGGCAAACATCTACACGGGCTCTGATGAAAACAGACAACGATGACTCCGTGAAGGCTTCGCACCCAGGCTGCGACTGGAAGAACAGCTGCTTCAGAACCTTCGTGTCTTGGCTCAACCTGGATCGAAGCACTCTTGCAGCCTCCAGGGAAACGTCCCCAAGGCCAAGAGACTCCTGGACCCCAACCCCTAGCCCCTATCATCAAGCGGAAGGGATTACCAAAAGAGCCCGGCCCTAGGCAGCACAGTACATGTCGCGAAAAGGGCCTTTCCAAGAACATTCAGGGGCTCTCGAAGTAAGCCTTTCCAAAAAAGGGAGCCGTACCCCCTGCCTAAACTCAAAAAGTCCTAAACCCTAAAGTTAAAGATGAGCCATAATTTTGGACTCCCGCCACATCCACCCGATTGCCATGAACCACTGAACTGGCCTGTAATAATAACAATAATCATCATCACCATCATCATCATCATCATCATTATTCTCTTGTTCTCCATCTTCATCCTCATACGTATAAAAGAAATAAAGAAGAATTATAATGGTAACAATCATAACAACAACAATAATAATAACGACAACCATAATAACAATAATAATAACAATGATAATAATAATAATAGCAACAATAATAAATAACAATAACATTAATAAACTGTAAAAACTTACTAGACATCACTAATGCTACTATACTACTGCGACAATCGGACTACCATGCTCATTTTGAACCACCGCCCCAAGAGCGAGGAGCCTGGCAACAGACGCCGCGACGGAGGCCAACTCGTCTGCTCGGAAGAGCAGGGCCTCGTTAAGGGTCTAGGGCGTTCTTTTGACATCTTTTTTCCGAGGTTAAAGGTTTAGGGGTTTAGGGTTTTGTTGCCTCCCACCTAGAGTGTAGTTTTTTAGTATAGGGTTTAGGGCTTAGCGCTTTCGGGTGGGATGTTTCCTCCTGCACTGTACACCGCCCCTTCAAGCAGTTCAGAGGCCAAGAAAAACACAAGCCAAACTCAAACTCTGAACCCTAAATCCTCAAGCGCCTTCGCCGTGGCTGCCTTCGACAGTGCTCCTGGTCTCAAGGCCATGCACTGGCTGTTCACTCCATGACTTTCAGGGCGGTTTTTGGAAAATCAAGTTTTCGGCCGCGTAAATTGCAAAGTGCATGAGAGGTTTGAGGCTTGTGACTTGGGCAAATCGTCAACCGATGCCTCGAACTTGTTACAACGTTCCGCAAAAAAAGGCGTAACGAGAGTCCCACGAGGTCTCTGGGATCGAAGCCTCGAGGCTCTGAGAGGGCTTCCGGTCGCTTCCTGGGGAGTTCGAGTCAAGGCATCTGACATCACGGGAAATACTGGCTGTCAGGGCTTCATAGGTTGCAGGCCTGTTGAACACATACACGGCTTGGTGATTTGAGAAAGCCGGACCAGCAACATTGACGAATAAGACCCCTTCCTGTGATGCCAGAAACGGAGAGAGAACGTGCTTCTGTCGCGTGATGACGTGATGTCGTCCACAGTTCAGAACACCGTCCTACCAAAAATCTACACCACGCAGGTGAGATCCCCACATGTTTGAATGTTCCCTCAGTTCCTGAATCACTACCCCTGGGCGACGGCCCGCACCTAAAAGCTCCGTCTGCGAGGACCAGCCGCCGACTGGATGTGGGTATATTGGGCTGAAGGCTTAAACGATCGCAAAGTCCACCCTAGCCACTCAGCTGAAGATTTATTGATTGCTGTCATCCACTCACGGCTAGACCCAAGAAGCCTTCACACTTGAAGCATTTCTCCTTCTTCCAACACTTCCTGCATTCACACTGGGGCAGGGCGTCTAGTGATTTTAACTCGCTACTCTCGTCTCCCTCAAGAAACCTGCTGTACACCTATCGCCTCCGCTTAATCTCGCCCACCCCCCAGAATACTAAATATTACTTTCCGTGAAACACATCATTAGGGGCCGTGGCTTTAAATCTTCCCATTGTTCACTGCTTTACTCAAAAACCTCCTTTTGGCAGGCCGCTGGCCCTGCAGTCCTACGTTAGTGCTGCTGCAGCAGCCTGCAGTGCTGTTTGGATCCTAAGCTCTGAGAGGGCCAGGAACTAAATTCAAGTACACACTCTATAATAATCGTAATCATAATAGCAACAAGAATAGTTAGTTCTGATAGGAAAATAACAATAACATTGGTTGCAATCGTAAGATTTCGGATCCGGGTGTATTCCCTGAACCTAAACTCTGAGAGAAAAGGACTCAACTCAGATGTTGTAGTACATACAGTATATAGGTTTGGCCAATCCATGGAAGCGATTACTACTTGTTAGTCTTCTCGTGCTGCTGGACTTGAAGCCTAGAATACGATAAATGAGATAGCGCTGATAGCATGTAACAATCCGTGGCAACGAAAGAAAAAAGAGGAGTAATCATAGTAGTAATAAGAAGAGGAATAAGAGTGATAACCACCATATAATCATTGCAATCGTAGTGCCCAGGCCCTTCTGCAAGCTGCCTGCTGCAGCCCAAAGCACCCCTGTCAGCTCTTGCGTCCGGAACCTCGGAGCGAAAGTCTAAGGATCTTCGACACGCACCCCGCAATCCCGAACAGCCAGGCACCAGAATGCACCCGAGCTTCAGAAGGGCAAAAACATACCCCACGCCACAACCGACCCCACTTCCCGGACTGAGTACGGCTGCCCCCAAAGCCCCTAAGCTAAACCCCAAACCCCTAAGCCCATGCTATAAACCCTAAACCCAGCAAAAAATAAAACAAAACTGAACCGGAAACTACATGCAACACCACCGGATCCCCGGCTCGGCAGCCAATGCGATGCCCTTCGCCAAGAGACCGGGAACCTGCGACAGTTATTTTGCTACACTTAGAATAATAGAGACTACCAAGGAAGATCATTATGAGCTAGGTAACAGCATGGTATCATACCATAAATGTAAGTAGGACTCCAAGAGTGTTGTAATTCGTCTTTACGGCCCAGTCAAGACTGAAGAGGTCACAAAGACACATACACAGCAAAGGCCTACACTTATAGAACTAGTCATTACAGTATGGTTTAAAAAATACCAGAGTTATAAGAGGGGACTCTAAGAAACATGACCACTCAGAGCTGGCCTCTTCCGGAGGTTGGTGGGCCACCTTCAACAAGGGTTAAAGTTTGTAGGGTTTTCTGGCTCCAAGATTCAGGGGTCCAACGGTTTGGTAAAGCGAGTTCCGGTGGACTTGATCTTGACAAGCATCATGTGCCAGCTTCTAGCCCGGTTCGGGCCTGTCCACTGTGAGGCTTTAGATGTGTGAGAAGTGATTCGAGCAGTGAGGTCTTGGCTACTCACTCCAGGATCATCAGGGCCGACTACTTGGGACACTAGTGCACAAGTCTGGCACAGAATATAAGCCTCTGACAGCAAAGGACCAAAGCACGTTGGCGACATGCTGTGTACCTGGGGCTTTTTGCATTGCAATTCCGATGCTTTTTGAAAGCGGCTTCCGGTAAGAGCCTCCCAGAGAGCTCTGAGACGCAGGCCCATGGCTTCGATGTTCCTGAGGCCGCAAAAGCGCAGGCAATGATTCGGTCTTTTGAAACTTTTGGCAGTCGCCATTCTATCCCCCAGGCCAAACGTAGCGAAGGTCCAAATCCAAAACTCGAGCTCGACGCCAATGCGCCATCATAGCAGCTATAAGTCTCGGGAGTCGTGAGTATGCTGAGTACATGACATAATCTGACAGGACACCCCTTAGCAAAAAATCTTCACAGCCAAAGATAGCTTGAGGTGTAAAGTGCAGCCCCTGCCTTGTCTCTTGCGATTACCTGCCATTTCTACGATTCTACTTGCCGTCTGTAGTTACATTGCAGTGATACGAAAATTCGAATGCCGCATAATAAGCAAGGACCCAAGCCTCAATGGCAACATTTCTGAAGCCAACGAAACCATCTCAAAGGATGCAACAGTGCCGAATCGAATGCACGCCCGAAAGCCTGCAAACCTTAAAGCCTCTAAACCCAACAATGCCTGACAACAATAGTTTTTGGCATCCAGTCTGCAAAAGCCTGTGCCCCAAACCCAAACCGCAAAACCCTATACCTAAACCTTTCGCAAGCCGTTCCCTTCAAATCTCTGAGCTCTGCGCCGGTCCTCTGCCAGCCAGGCTCCGGCGGCGTGGAAGAGCCCCGGCCTTCTCTGAGTTTTCGGGTTTCGACTTTCGACGCGCGGGTTTCGGGTTTACGGACTTAGTGACTTATGCAACGCTTGGCATTATCATTATAGAATATGATGAGGGCTTTGGGGGGTCTATCGTAGTAGATCTATATTTGGAATAATCTGGGTAATTCTTGAGGCTTCCGTAGTGTCGGGGTTTGGGTTTACCAAGCTGTTCGGGTTCGCATGATGACAGTTGCAGTGGTGAAAGACAGGGCAGGGTCATAAGACTCTTTTTCCGACTACCTGAGGCAGCGGGGGAACGTCGGTGCGCGGATAAAGTTAAAGATTGCGGGATTTGGCGTTTAGAATGTTCGATTTTAGAAGTTTGGGAGTGGTTTATCTTATGGTTTACCGTGATGATTATAATTGTATAGGAGAATTTGCGGAATGCTAGTATTGATTCTTCCACCATGTGGGTCTAAACTAGAAACCCGCGCTGGGCAGCTTTCTTGATTCTGCGAAGGTGCTCAGTCCATAGTGAACGAACCGATCTGCCGAAGAGGTGGAGGCTGACTCGGCTTGGTGGGCTGAGGAATGAGCTCGTGGAAGGTGCCTTTGGAGACTGCCCACACCACTGCAGACCTTAGCCACCACATGTAGGTCATGTTGAGGTGTTGCCAACTTCAGCATCCACCTGGATGAACCCCGGCTAGAGGAGGGTTCAGTAGAGTGTATTCAAGCCTGGGTTGCGGACATACCAGACAGCTATCTACCACTGCCTTCTCCTATATACCGCACGTCTGTGATCTGGCTGCGCCCTGGGAAAAGCCCAAGAAGCTCTGGGGAGCCCGCAGCTGAGTTGCACCGAACTCATGGATCTGTTGACTCGCCTGGCGAGCTTCCCTGGATCGGACAGTCTCGCCACGATGGTAATACCCTTAACTTTAACAACTTAAGAAGATGTTGACATCTCAAAAGCTCAGAAGTAAGAGCAATCACAAGCTCGGCCGCTGTCACATCACCCTACCCTAAAGCTTCACTAGCCGTCGCCAGCTGCGGAAGCATGCCGAGACCGCTGACTGGGTCACTTGATCTGCCAGGTGCCTGTCGCTCCAACAGGGTGCAACAAGGGCTTACAGGGTTTTTTACAACTTCAGAAGCATAAAGCTTAAGCCGGCTTCGGGTCGGTAAAGGGAAAACTGGATCCTGGGCCGAAGTTGGATGAAGTTTTAGATTTTAGAGTGCAGTTATGGAGCTTACACACGACAACCTTGCTTTCTATGCTGTGGCATGGCCCGTGCGATTTCAGTGGGGACAAGGAATCTGTGCTGCCTGTAAAGCAAGCAGAACCCACATTGAAATAAACGCCTTCGCTTTAAGAAACCGCAAAGTTGAGGGCCTTCTGAACCGCCGAGCTCATACTGTATCTAGCAATTGGTGTTCACTCGTCTTCGCTAGGTTCACGATCAGTCAACCTGGCCAGTTGCCAACATGACCTGCCCGAGTGCCAATGCGGAGCCTGTCCGCGGCTGACAATATCACGGCAGCCCACATGAAGTTCGCGTGGTCCTGATGCCGCAGGCCCTGGCTTATACACTCGCAGAACGTGCGCTACGGGACTGATTCTGAGGAGCTCCGAGAAGTCGTTTGTTCTTTCTGCTTGGTTGCATGCTTCGTGACGTGCAGCAAAACATGGAACAGTGATCACAGTTGTAAGGCTGGCTTCGGACATCAGATCACCCCCGAGCTGCAGGGCTCTGTGTGCAAAAGTCGCTGAGGCAGGAGAAGCGACTTCAAGGGAAAGCAAGTCTAGCAGCTCGCCGGAGGAGTAGCATGAATGAACACTTAACAGACGAGAGCAAAGCTCAAAGCAACAATCCAGAATAAGGGCCACTTGTAATGATAGGTCGACTGCTCCTGTGGATTGCAGCGCCCCAGCTGTTTCAGCAGCTGTGTGCTCAATGCGGCCACCGTATTGGCCATCTGGGCATCCCCTGGCCAAACCCAGACATTGAAATTGAAAGGTCACAATGTTGCGCGTTAGCAGGAACTACATGAAACTACTAGCAGCACTAGCAGCAGTCAGTGGCAGACTAGCATTCCCCACGCAAGTCTTAGCCGTGCACACTGACGGTACTCTTTCGACGGATCAACGTGACACAGAACATTGTGCTCGACAGCACTTCTGCAACAAGTCACTATAGAGTGTGGGCTCAAACGTCAAGAAACATCAGCAACAAAGAACATCTGCTTGAGAAAGCAACGAAACAGTAAGAGGAACAGCAGAATAGAAAGAAGATGCCTCGGAAAGACTAGTTGAAAACGTGCCGGCCAAACTTACGTGGACCGTGGTAGCAGCAAAAGCCTGCTCCCGAAACACACTGCAGCCCAAGGCCTACCACAGCATCACCGAGCTTCCTGCAATACTCTGCCAAAACCACCGGTTGAGCTTTTGGAATCGTGGGAACCCTGAGTATCCGACCCAAAGCAAATTGCACCTGGGCCGGGCTCAAGTGTCAAGACGATTCCCGAAATCTGGGTTGTTTTATATGACATCGTCCGGCTGATACTCAGGACGGTTTCCAAGTTCACGTCTACAGTCGGAGGCCCTGTAAGACTACACATCGTGGAAGTCACTGCGCGGCGTCTACCGTCGATCTGTCCAAGCTATTTGACCTGACGCTGTACACTGGGCTGTTCAGGGCGTTTTTGCTGTGCACCTGAAGGCGTTCTGGACCTCGTCAAATTCAGACATGATGCTGCAGCGAATTGCAATGGGGCTGCCACGCCTCTTGCGGTTTGAATTGTTGCTGGGCCTCCCAGGCTGGCCTGCGACGAGGGCTCATGCACTGCCAACTCGCATATGTCAGGCTGGGTCGACGCGGCTGTCTGCAAACGACGTTTGGGGTTCATGCCGTACTTCCAGAACCTGCATCTGCTTACGCATGCAGATCAAGAACAGGTGCTCTCACAATCTCAGAAGCAAAATTTGGAGAACTCCAAAGAACCTTTGTGCAATGCCCTTGGCACACACAAGTACGAAACAGCCGAGCTAAACAGCGAAGTACCACAGATCGCAAAACGACCAGGTCCCATAAACAACACTCTTCCATGCAGGACGGGCTAAATCAAAATGCTCGCCCCGTTATAAGATGTCGCTGCTTAGGTGAGCCTCCGAGGCTCAAATCCCAACCCTGGAAAAACCTAAACTCTGGGTCCCACTACCAGATCCTGCTTAGGCATGGGCCTGGCAAAGGCCCCACATTGCTCTGCACTGCTCGCAGACATCTTCGCCATCGCCTCCCGAAAAAGTCGAGGACAGCCCATGCGATGTCCGCAACCCGGTGTAGCACCCCGTGGTACATGAAACATTGAACAAACACACGCCTCCTATGTTGACAACAGGTGCGCCCAAGCGGACCCACACGACATTCGCGATGTGCTGCGGAGCGAGGTCTTGCACGCGACTCATCGTTGCAGAGACCTGCAGAACACGAAACACTGAACATGAGGAGTTTGATTCACGGAGCTTCCGGACATGTCGCTGCCGGTGTGAGAGTGCCTTGTCCAGGAATCAACCGCTACTTACTGAGACTGGCGGGTGAATGACTTCCACTTAACATGACATCATCATTCATCACACATGTTTAATTGGTCTTCGGTCGCGGACCTGGAGTTCTATGCACGCAAGACATCCAGTCGCGCACTGAGCCTTTTTCAAGGGAAGCCTGTAAATCTCCAGGGTGAAGAAATAGGTGAAACACCAGAAATACGTGGTTTCCACGTGTCTCAACATGTCTCAACACTGACTCCCAAGCTATCTAAACTGTAAAGGCAACTAGCTTGCAGAAAACTTCCTCGCATCCACCAGCACCGGGTTAGGTGGTTTCGGGAAGCCGGCAGTGGCCTGGTGCCCGGTGCTCGAGTCAAGCGCAGCGCCACTAGTGCTTTGGCCATCGGCGCCAACAGTTGTGACACCAACAATCCTCTGCATGGCGGTAGTAGATCAGGTACTGAGGCAATGCCATTTGTTCCTTGAAAATCACGAACTCCATGTGGTCCACCCTTCCACCATGCTCCTTTGTCAGGGCAGTAATGGAGTCGTACGGCTCACCATCCTGCCGCTCTGGTGCCCTGGTGATTCCTTTGAGTTTTTCCGTCGTCACAGGCTTGCTTTGTCCGAGAAGCACGCGTGCCAGCACCAGACAACGCTCCCCGTGAGGATGCGAGCAATCACCATGAGCGGCATCACGTGAACACTCCGAACAGGTAGTGTAGAAGTCAGACTTCGATGCGTTCTGGGCAAAGTAAGTTCCCTTGCCAAACATCGCACCGACAGCTTCGCCCCCACGCTGGGGATCAAAACCTCAACTGGCTATCTGCTCGCAGGTATGAAGTGGGCAGCCATGGAACAGCAGGAACTCGTTCAAGTCCATAGATCCAAACTGCGCACAATGACAACTGAGAGCCGTTATGTCAGCTATGGGAGAACATCCGTTGGGATTCCGCTGTAGCACCTCATGCAGCCCTGCTTCGTACAATCCCTGCCTGACTCGATTCTTGACTTCGACGAGCCTCGTAACTACAACTATTGGCGGAGGACACCACTCCAGCGACTTCATTTCTCTTCGGTGAGAGGCCATAGACTTCCTGAACAATGAACGTATGGCCTTTGCCTTGACCTCGTCCTCGCAGTTACCCCCCGGCAGTGGGCGGCCCCGCAGCCGACGCTGACTGACGGCAGGAGTCGCAGTCGAACTATCGGGTCGTCTTGCAATTGCTTGCCTCCCCATCTCCATCAAGAGCCGTTGGTGCAATTGTCGTTCTTGCACCAGCCTCTCGCGACTCGCGTCTAACTGCTGTCTCAGCAGCCCGGTCATCTCTTCCAGAGCTTTGATCTGATCGCGCATCGTACTACATTCCTCCACATGGCTTTGCGGAACATCCGGCTGAGGATGTGCAGCAGGTTCGTCTGTGGTTTCTGTTCTTCGAATTGGTCTTACTTTGCCCGTCACCAGGTTCGTTTGATCCATGTCAGGAAAGGAGATGCTATATTCATACTGGTGAATGCTTACCGCGCATGTGGGCTGCCCAGATTGATAAGCCTCTTCCAGGCTGGCCGCAGCATCTGCTGGATATTGCATCCACATGTCTGGCGGCTTGACCTGGAATTCCCAGCATGGAATGCAGGGAGCCACTCGCGGAGTCGAAACCTGCATGGCCAATATACTGGAATTCCAAAAAGCCTTCGTGACGGTTTGCACGAGCTTGATGAACAATGCGAGGGCGACGGGGGTGGCGCCGACTCTTTACTCGTGCGACATCTTCAACTGTCAAACGACTATACATGGGACAGTTTCTGTGCGTGTGCGAGCTTGTGTCAGGATCGTCTTCTTGTCATTGTCAGTATCTGAGACCTGAGGCACTTACAACTCGAGCCGAGAGAGGTCAATGTACTGCACAGCTCGATGGCCAGATCAGGCCCCGAACCGTTTAGTCATCTGCTGCTCCAGGGGGCCCTGCTATATCCGCGACGTCGGATGCTGTAGCCGTGACCTTTGCCAAAGCCCATACCTCAGCTGTGTCTCCAACAAGAAGGCAGAGCTGAAGGTAGTTCAAGCGGGCAGATTGGATGCCGGGAGCTAAGGTGCGTATGCAGGACAAGATTAGAGTCTCCTAGGTCCTAGATCTCCTAGAGCATGCCCTGTAATGGTATGCTGCGAAGGGTCTCAGTACACGACGGGGGCTACGCGACAACGCTACACACATTTCACGGACCTTTATGTTTGCAGAGGGACTTGGCCTCGATCTTAGGGCTTAGTTTCACCACTTCCCAATGGTGAGCTTCATGAGACGCCTGAAACCGGTCATTAGCAGTGTTTGTCCATGACTCTAACCACTGTCTGACCCCTTCCTGGACTGTGACGACATGGGGATGCTGTCGTCCTACAAGCTGTACTGTCTGAGCAGTCTGCTCAGCTGAGAAACTGCACGTAATTGTGTCACCCCTTTTGGGAGTGCCCAGATGACACAGGCAGCGCAATCCGCTCATCCCTGTAGCACACCGGCTCTACTGATCTGTGAACGATCTTTGGCAAACCATAGCGAGACAAATCGGATCAACACTGTCAGAAGATTGCAAAGTTATGGCCACCCATAGTTTCACAGTGACAAGTGCAGTCGGTACGACACTCCTCCTCCAGTCTCCGAATTGATGTGCGGTTGCAAGAACGCCTCGTCGGCCTAATTTGGCCCAAAAACGGCCAAAGCTCCCGATCCTCTCAGCTGCCAGGATCCTCGAAAGCTTTACATATGGGTAGTTCTTTATATTAGGGCCCCTTTTTAAAAGGGTGGCGTACTACACTGGGGATCTAAAAGGGGACCCCAACTTAGGGAACTCCCCATATCCATGTAATCTTACATCTCATGTCAGCCCGGCAGTGAGGGAGGGACCATGTTCGTGCCACGCGCACGAACACAAAACCTACCTCCATTACCCCATGGAGTCACACCCAGTCATGCAAGGCAGTCCACATCTTCTCCTACTTGGTGGCCCTTCCGTTTATTGTCCAGCAACCTCTAGACGGGTAGTCAATTATAGGACTCGGGATTGGCTGGGTGCCTGCAAAGACTGCCTTGCTTGCCCCTTGAGTTTCACCCCAAGCGATCTGCGGCCATTGTGAACAGCGCTCCAGAATGTGGGAGATGGACAACGATGGCTATGAGAAGCTGTGTCACACTTTGTGATTGCTTCAAACAAATGCCCGAGCTTCAACGTTTGCCGCCTGGTTGTGTCTGCGCTTCGCCTTTGCCCTTCAATGTATAAATGGAGGTGCATGCTTCCGTAGTCCTAGACTGCTTACTCTGGAAGGCCCGACCTGACCATGCCAGAGCGCTGATCACGTGGCACGGACACTTGCCCTCAGCTGCGCATCTCGAAGATGTAGTCGAACCTGATCCCACGAGCTCCATTACCAGAGATGTTACTTGCATCGTCGCCTGCATAAGGCATGATTACAGTCATCACTTTAATCACGTGTTTGAAGTTTTTAGTGGGGGCTCATGTTCAACAACGGCTTGCAGCCGTAGCCACATAACATCAAGTCAGGACTCGGACAACCGCTAGTACTGGAACCAGCTCAGTACTGTTCCTGCGGCTGGCTTGGATGGGCCATCTGTGATTGAGTGAGCAACAGTACGTTCAGGTTCAGCGATGGTGCCAGGGTACTCCGGCTGTGGCGAAGGCACTCCAAAGGTGACGACGTCGCCATGCTTCAGGGCCTTCCACCGAGCTTCCGTAAGGCTCACAGCTCCAAATACTGTCACAAACAAGACTGGGAAGTGCTGCCTGCCTGGCAAAGCCTACAGATCTTAATTCTTCCAGTTTAGGCCAAGATCGGACGGGGTTTTGGTGAGTTGAGACCAGCCTTAAAGGAGGACTCGCTTAAGTAGATTCCAGCGTCAGCCAGCTTGGAGTGTTTCCGGTGACCACCCACAGTGCCGTTGCAACGTTCCTTTGCCAGAGCTTTCAAGGAACTACCTGATTCTGAGCCCACAGCACAGCTGCCAACTGACAAAGGCTAGTGTCTGTGTGACTCCCGGAGTCTACACGGTTGTGCCAGTCAGCACGACAGGAATGGAGCCTGCTTCGAACTGATGCGGGTACCATTGATGTGCACGCCGTTGAGAGAGCCTTGGTCCTCGGTTTGCGAATGAAACATTGTGCTACGTCGAGTTCAGGCGGGTTTGGGAGCTCGAGCAGGAACGAGAGCAAGGGCAGGAGCAAAGAGCACTAGCAGGAGCAAGATCAAGGCACCCCCAATAGTGGTGCTAGCGATGAGAGGGGGTGCCGTTGAATTCAGGGGATAGGGATAGCTTATACATATACTCATACAATCGTATACACGCACTGCCAAGGTTTACAGCTTAATTAGCTTACAGTGGCAACAGCTGGAACACCGACGGTGAGACATCGAACTCTCTCTCTACATACACGTACATCCATATAGAACAACAGAGGACATCAAACACCCTTGGCAGATCGGGTCTGTGCAGTCTTGACCGTGGCAAATGCCTTGTGTGTGGGCCAGATAGTGTCAATGGGAAAATCTACACAGCCGGAAGTGAACAAACTCCGGTCGAAACTGGCCCTGTCTGGCAGCTCCTCTGAAGATAAGCGGTGTCAACATCGTCTGACAACTTCGGCCGGGAAGCTTCGATCATGCAACTCTCATCCTCCACGGTCACCACAGCATGGGATCGCCTCAGGCCGGATTCATGTTAAGGCCTTAATGATTAGAGGAGGTTTTTTTGGATTGTATAACAAATCTAAACACCAATTATGACTATGGCTATGGCTATGAGGCGGCTACTATATGATTACGAACTTCGATTACAGACCTACATACAAAGCTGGAAGATCTGCAGTGCAACTATCAAAGGCCCCAGCAAAAGGAGAGACGAGCTTGCAGCCATCGAGGCTCCGACGAGATCATCTGTGGAGTCAGCGATGAGTCTAGGATGACCTGATGTGATTCTCGGAGTTAGGGGCCGGATGGGTTCACTGCGTGATGCCCTAGTTGTATGCGAACACATGCAGGGTCCATTCTCCAAGAAGCGCATGTGACAAGTGCAGTGCTTGTTGTTTTTGTTTTACGTCTTGAAGGCGTGTGAAGGTGCTGATGCTGTAGAGGGAATGTTTCCATGAAGGACATGCAGCACATGGACGAAGCCTGAAGCCCAAGAGAGGTGCCTCTGCACCGCGCTGAAAAGCTCGAAAAAACTGACAGCTGGATGCAAACGACAACCTGGGCCGTCTACATCACAGGCTTCGCCCCGGCCTAGGTGCACAGCCAACCATTGGAAACTGGGTTGGGTATGTTTGGGTGCAACGGAACTGGCTCCTTTGTTGGGCTCAGAGCTCAGAGTGGAAGTGAACGTCAACGCCTAGACAACATGAAATCTTACGTAAGATCTGCAATCTGTCCTTGCAAACCGTATGCGTGTCGGCCGGGCATGGGCCTCAATCAAGCTTTACAACACCTGTGCATGAGCACAGGCTCGGACGAGGAGCTGACTTTCAGATGTCTTTGGCAAGTTGCAATTACTGTAAAAAGGCCCGAGGGAATGTCTGAAAGAAACCGGCACTTGGAGTCGACTGAGGCCAATAGCCGATCAACACGCGATCCACCAGGGAGATCACCGAGGGCCTTAGACTGCAACTCTCACATTGTCTTTGATTTGGGCATGGAGACAAACAGGTGATGATGATGATGATGATGATGTGCAGTACACGGCACTGATCGGATAAATTGCTCCCACTGCTATT